GTATATATCTATACACATTCGTGTAAATTCAAATTGTAAACCGCAGGACAATGTAATTTAATAATTTATATTTCATAGAACACGTAAAATTTGACAAAGCTTCCGTTTTTAGGAAAATGCGGGATGTGTATCAAATTTTATCAAAATCAATTGAATTGGCGACGGCTGAAGCGTGAAGAAAATTTTCCGAATGAAAGGAATAATGATCCCGCTGCAATTAGTCTTTACTTTTTGTTAAACGGAATTAGCATTGTTAGGAAAGGGTCAAGTTGTTCCATCTACCGTTTCTAGGTCGCCGTGACGAGCATAGATTATGAGTAAAAACAGCAAAAAGGCAATGGCGGCTATTCTTTAGACAGTCACCGAACTTCTAATGAAAAATCCAAGAAAAATGTGATCTACGCGTTGATTCAGCCAAAACAGATTCGAGGTACGTGCCGGTGATTATTCCGTGGAAATTCCTATTCCCAGGATCGCACTATATACTTAGCACGTCCTGACGGGATGCCACATGCAACCACATGTGGATTTGGAATTAACGAACACTTGCCCTGTAAAAATATAACTTGATCATGAGTCGTGGTCACGTTTACTCCCGCATGTGCTTTAAACGTTTAACGAGGACTGTAACGAAAAGCTCGTCGTAAGATTTTTCCTTTATTTGTATCGCGCTCATGGCTGGAACGTTTCTCGGGTCGGAAAATAATTTGCACGATTCCAATTCGAAACTGATTTCATCTACAATTTCCAATTCGTGAAGCTGATTTCGTTCCTCGTCTCCATGTGCACGTCCGGAGGTAATAACATAAACGATAGAAAGCATTTAAAACTATTTGTAACCGATGTTCATATCAAAGAGATTCCAACCTGTTGGGAGATAAACTTGTGTATTATATTGCTATAAGTTATTTTTGTGTATGTATGCGGTTTAAGTTTTTGATATATTTTTTATATTATATTACGTTGTAATAGGCGTTTTGTTTTATACATAATTGTTTATAATTTTTGTTCACCGGTTTGTTACTCTGTTATGGTTTTAAATAGAATAAACGTTATTTTTGTTTACCATTGTATTGATTTCTTTTATTTGGAAACTCGATCCTCACCCTCATACAACTCACTCGAATCTCACGGAGTTATACGTTTATTCTGCTGAATTTTTGTGCAATATCAATTGAATTTACATAGGTGTGGCCAGAAGGCCAAGGGATGGTATTGCCCGCAGGGAAGAGATGGCACACAGTATGTATAGACAATGGCTGGCAAACAAATAAATTCCACACCGGATTCAATGAGTAACGGATGGTGGTTAATCGCGGATCAAACAGGAAAGATCGTCGGAAGGCAGGAAGGAGTAAACAATCGAGCGCGCTTAAGTAATGAGCGAGATTCATCTAAACTCGGATTTGGACTTAGAAGAGATAGAAGAAGAGCTTCTCTTGCAAGAGATTCGTGACCAGGAATTACCAGCCTCAGCTTACTCCAGACCCGAGGACATTCAGAACTTCGATATCGGTACGAGAATAAGCTTTAATGTTTTATAATGAAAACCGGTAACGAACACGAGGGTAGAGCATATGAAGAACACGTGTATATTGCATTGATAGCCGGCAGTAGTACAGGGGAGCAATTTGGCTCCCAACCTTTGAAGCTGGATTCGCCAGGGGTCCATTCGACAGACCATTCATGGGATTCGCATCCTAATTATCGTGGTAATTATGGCTATGGTGACCACCATGGCTCTTCCTCGAACGCCTTGGCTTGGCCTAGAGCAAGTCATTTGGTTCTTTATTGTGACATACAGGGGCATCTTAAAACAGCTATCGGTCTTATCAGACTTTTACTACTTGTAAGTATTTACTCGGCGCTCTCTCTTGTTTCATCGAGCTCTCGAATTATGGGATGATCTTGTCGCTTTAGATATCATCGGCGGCGTGTTTGGCAACGTTGTGCAGCGCAGGTACTGCCAAGGTCAGCTTGTTCATGCTGCCTCTAGTCGGGCGGCTACGTTTCATGATCTTCATAGCAGTTTTTTGTTGTCTCATCACTTCACTACTCCTCTTCCTCGATATATCTCATGTTATCTATGTTTTTCCTCTGAATTGGGCGAAATTGGTAAGTTGATCGACGATCCGTTGATATTAACGTAAACATTACAATAAAAAACATGCATACATATGATATTTAGTAAATCGTCACTCGTATATCTGATAGAATCCAACTCTTATAGAATGCTTGGATATTCACTGGCATAGGCTTGTCTTATGCCTTGAGTAGTGCGTTATTAGCATGCTCCGTGTGGGAATATCACAGCGGTGGCTGGGTCCCGAGACGTACTCGTTCACAACTGTCTGCCGCGGCAGCGCTCGGCCTGTCCTGCGCTATTATAGCATTTTTGCTCTCATGGATACACGGTCGCAGCGAGTCGACTTGTAGGAATCCAGATAGCCGTGTTATCACACCGACCCCCCTTTACAAACCTGTCGACAATTCTTCCTCTTCTGGAGTAAGTAATCACGGTTTACATTTTATTGTATCGCCTAGCCGAATCGAAACCGATTTCTTTGCTCAGGTCACGTTGAAAGAACGCAGCCCGAAGAGATCCAGCTCCGGGGTCGTGAAAAATCACAATCACACCAGATACAAGCAGAGTGGTAACGGGCAAGAGGAGAGAAGAAGACGGAGAAGAGACGGTGACAGTAGTTCGACATGCGATGGGAATTTAATAAGTACCAAAATCGATAGTACTATGTCGCGAAAATTACCTTTACAATCGAGAATGCCAGTGAACAATAACGCACAGGACTATTGTGGCGTAGATGATAGTTCAATCCAAGTGACGCAAAACGGGTTCCACTGCGAGATGGAATGCACGACCAGTAACAGTATGGAAAAAGTGGTCGAGATAGCTATGAACCGCACTGCCATGTGGACTGGACAATGGCAACCGCCGCCCGACGACGTACAACCCTGTTCCAGCAAGACCATCGATCCCTACAGTTTCGCCTGATCAAATCTCGAAAAGACGTGTACGATGTCTATGAGGAAAAAAAAGAAATATTGGACTCATCGCAGTGAATGACTTTTGGGAACAGTTATGTAATACGCAAGTTTCCCTTGGAACGCGGTATCATTCATAACATCACAGCGAACCTTCGTTTTATTGTTTTATCTATAGAAACTAAGTTTGTCTTTCAAATCATTCCTCCCGAACGAAATCTGTTTGAAATTTGCATGTGTAACGGTCACGTTAATGTTAAAAAAGTAGTGAACACCGAGTCTCTATTCATCATCTCTTGCGTCTTCATCTTTCTTCTTCTTCTTCTTCTTCGTGCATAATACCAACAGCGTTCGGTTCGAAGTCACGCTATCGATCAGATGTAAATGAAATTGCATTCCATGTTCATCGAAGGAAGCTCTCTCACGAGATCATTACGGGACGGTGTCTTGAAATCTGAATATTCAAGGGATCCTGTATAAAATTATCGTTGCCTTGTACATTATGCTGCCAAGAAACTAATTTCTCTTTAGTTGTCAGATTTTTGACATTTCGCGTCGTACAACCAGACTGCCCGAGACTTAAACATACAGATATACTGTCGTTTCATTCCAATTGTATATTAAGTAATATAAATTTAAGTATTCACGGGATTATTTGTAAGTATAGCTTACATTAGTGATTAAACACTTGTTTATCATTTTAGCGTATTTCAATGCCAGTACATACTACGATTCCATGCATACTCGGATGTTTACGAATCAAAACATGTATAAATCAGACGAAATCTTTCCGTTTTTCTATAGGAGCCAGTATGCATGGAACAAATTTTTACAGTATACTATTCCGATTATCGCACGGAGATGGACTCGCGAGCGAATCACGCGCGAAACAATTATTTTCATTAGCGATACTTGACGCGTACAACGATTCAGTTTGGAGATTTACGCGATCCGGTAGCGTAGGCGGAGTCCGTCTCTATTTTTGTAAAAGGTACGAGCACTATTTTCGATCACTGTAAATGTAATCTTCGAGGCAGGGCACACGACGTTAGTCCATTCATTTACTCGAATAAGAATCTCGATTCTAGTCCAGTACTCGACGATCCTCGCCTCTCGACGGATTTCATTAAATTTAAAGAGCAAAGTAATTTTTAGTACATACATATCGTGCTAGTGGTACAACAATCTCGAGGACACTGTCAGAAGATATTCCGTTCGTCCGTCGGACTCGCGGTCCTTGCAATCTTTTCTTTTCTCTTTTTATTAAAAATGAATTTTGGACCGTTCTCTCCTTCAGTTTGATCAACGACTATTTAAGTGATAATCAACAACTAACTGATCCCGTCTAGGGGTCATAAGGCGACGGCTAACTTTGTCTTTTGATACACACCCATAGAATTATACACACCCCCAATCAGGCAACTAATTACGTGTGGCGTCTACAATCGTTGGTTTCAATCCGTCGGCTTTGGCCTCTTTCATTCCGCGTCGTCGATCCTAACTCCTGTATTTACCAGCGACGCGAAACGAGGTGAGGAGCCAGATCCAAGAAACCAATCGTTGCACAACGCGTCGATTATCTAAATCGATTAATTAGCCGTAAGGAGATAAAAAATGCGTGTTCATATAGGGTCTTAAAGAAGAAGAAATGAAGAGAATAGTATATTTGACGGTAGGGCTTCGTTGTGGCTAAGCATATTGGCAATGTTGTAATCCGGTTTTCTTGAACGCAACGAAGAAATAAATGTAATTTTTCTTATATATATACATATATATATATATATATTTAAATATATATTATATATGGTACATTAACCGATGTACTGATCAAATGTTAAAAAAAGAGGATGAGATCAGATTTCAATGAAAAAAATGTTGAGTGGAAATGTTATATACAGAGGAAGATGATGTTTAGCTTAAAAGTTTAACGAGAGTGAAACAAATGAAGAAACGATTGAGGGATAACTGAAAAAAAAGACGTATATGCACGGACACTGCCAGACGAAATATAAACGCTCTTTGAGTGTCATGTATATCGAATAACTTTGTTACTTTTCAATATTAACTTAGTGTCGGAGGCTTTACCTCGCTACAATCTGCAATACCTCATAATAAATGAATTGTTAAACTTATATTTAGTATGTGAATCTACAACACTGTTTAATATATTTCTGTACGAGAAACTTTAAAACTCGAGAATCGCGTCAGATCATAGCACAAATATCGAGAACATTCTTCAAATTAGGTTTTCAACATCGCAATCTAATCGTGAAACAGATTTTGTAATCAGATTGCTGGTTTTCTGACGAACGTACGCATTACCCATACATACATAAATACATATATACTTTCCGTTTTACTTTTTATAAAACGATGTTGGTCGGACGATGATTATTTCATTTATTATTATTATTATTATTATTATTATTATTATTATTATTATTATCATTATTATTATGGATATTAGTTATTAAAATTCGTATGGATCATCGAAAAACTGAAACTTCTGTTACTTATTCTTCCTTCCAATCGTTGACGTTTATTTTTTTATATTCATTTTACAAGGGGAATCTTAAGAGGTATCAGAAAGCGTTGTACGCACAAGAATACGTTTATATAGTTGCCCTTTCTGCATGCATTATTTAATTACGTTCATTTGAGTACCATGCGTTTTGACTCCAACAGATTCTATTGTATTATTATAGAATAAACAACGTTTAAACAGTGCTGTTTAATGATAAGCCTTGCTTATATACACGTCTCGTTTTATTTGTAACGCTAAATAATGACAATCTAAGGAAGACATAAATTACACGACGCAAGAGTTTTTTGGCCTAACATTTTTCTTCATTGGATCATGCCAAAGACAAGCTGCGACAAACCTTATGATAGAAGTTCTTAAGGAGCTGCAGCTGTTGGATCTATCTCGATTGATAAATAGATATTAGTAATTAAAAACGTATTGCGAGCATCGACAGGAGAATCTATTTCTGTGTTTCGAAATGATGCTGTCAATACCGATGAATACATGTTTCTATCATTGTATACTGATCGCAATAGAACGAGTCAAACGTTTTCTCCGATACGAGGAAAGGTAATTGCGAGCTGAGAAAATGTAGTCGTGTAAATTACCAGGAGTGGACCGGCTCGTTGGTAATTTATCCGACCTCATAGCGATTGTTCTGGACAATAACGATTAATGATCCATAATAACGTCTAAGTTAGTATCGTTGTTTATTCTTTTAAAAATTATTTTGTACACTTAGAGATAATGAGATGAGAATAACAAGCGTGCCGCATGGCCAACGACTATGCGGGATAAAGTCGTGAGCGCGTGCGTTATATGTTAATTATAAAGTATACCATCGGAATGTTAGCAATTAGAAGCAACTTCGTTCCATGTTAATCGAGGAAGAATACGTGTAACGTTTGTTAGTCGCTGTATCGTTGTAAGTATTAAAGTCCATGATGATTGAACACGATGAAGAATTGTCACGAAATCGTCCGAAATACAAACGAAATTATGAAAAATAATCGCGGCCAATCTGACGGTCATTAAGTATCACCATTGCCAAGAAGAACTAAGACCATCATAACGGTTAACATATTCTAGAAGCTCAGCAACGTTTTTATCAACCATTTATATCGCTACTCTCTACCTCCCTCAATTTTCCGACTATGTCTTCTAATTTTTTACGCTGAACACCCTGCTTCATTTGTTTGCTTTCGTCTTGCGTGAAACAGTGAATGTCCAGTGTTTTTACATAATGCAGAACAGAATTCCTTCCGACATAGGAACGAAATTAAATGATAAAGTGGCACGTCTGGTGCGAGAGACATACGAGAAGGGACAGAATGCACTAGTAGAAAGATAAAAAAAAAAAACTTACTCTTTGTTCCTCGACACTTGAAACGGGAGCTGAAAGAAGATAGAAAATAATTAGAACCGTCGTGGGAATACAAACGTGCCCGACTTTTATTATATCTTACCTGTTGAGGGTGTCTTAATTGTTTCATAGTTGGATGTCTCAGACTGTTGTACCTCACCCAAGTATACGGAGTATTGTGTACACTTGACAATCCCGAGCGTGCCATTGTGTGAACCGCGAATCGCGGACCATGTTCCAACAATTGTTGCTGCTGATAGGATTGATCTGAATAGTACGGGTCGTATTTGGTGAAACTCTCCACAGATGACATGGCCAAAGAATTTGCTACTGCCACTATAAAAGAATGACAGTATAAATATTTGTTGAGAACGAAAATAATTAAGCAGAACGTACTTTTGGCTTTTTGGATGTTCAGCAGCGTGTCGTAGTATTGCTTCTTAAACGTAGCCAGCTCTGTAATAGACGCGGTTTGCTGCAAAACGTTCGAACTCTTTTGTTTCGTTTCTTCCACCGCGGATCTACGTGCAAATAAGTCTCGTTAAACCATCTTGCAGATTGTAAAAAATATATTTACAATAACGATCGACGGTACTTGTACAGCGGATTCTCTGCGTTATCCAGCTTTCCGCATTCTACCGTTTGCGATTTACTAAGTACCGTGTTTAAACTTTTACGCAGCACTTGCAGTCTTTGAGGTTTCGAATAAACATTACGCGGAGCCGTCTTCTTCTCCGTCAATTTTTTTGTGCTCTCCGTTGCGTCTTTAAAGGCACATGCACTATCGTTCGAGAGATTTAACCGATCGTTGTTCCGCAAACTCTTTTGACTCGTGAACTTGCAACTCTTAGTCGCAGGAGTCACTGTATGCGAAACTTTGGTTCGAGGCAACATTGGAGATTCTATAAATCGGAAAGGGAAAAATTATTTATAAATATTAAACCAAAAGTAAGAGCGATTGACGGATTCTCACCGATCAGAATTTCCTGTTTCGCACGATTTAAAAAATTTTGCAAGCTCGCTTTAAGCCTCTTACACGGGACAAAATCGTCCATTAAGGAATCGTCTTCTTTCAATGTCTGCAATATTATTTGCATTTTTACGAGTTTGTTTAAACAATGATTAAATTTTCCTCACTTGTGTATTTATTACGTCCTCCTCGCAATGTACAACGTCCATCTTATATATATCTTGCTGAATCGCTTGTTGCTCATTTTGTAATTCTTGTTCAAAAAATTCTTGCGCTTCCACGTTAATAACTCGGTGCTTGGTCGCATTATTATACTTTTTAGAGGCTCGATTCGCATTACCAGTGTATAAAATTTCGCAATTAGTTTCATTTTTTGAAGTTTCACCGTCACGCGTTGTTTCTAGTTTTGTCAGCTCGTTTTCATTCTGTTTACTGATCATGACATTATTCTTATACAATTTCCTTAAACACGTAGCATCCTGCAGTATTAGTTTGTTATTAACGTGGGTCACGCTGATTAAGAGAATTTTCACAAACCTGATGCAGCGGATGAGGTACGTTCGTCACATTATACTGATTCCAATTATTGAATCTATCAATGGACAACTGAAAATATTTATCATCCATCGATTTGACAAAACCTTGCTGACAGCTAGCCGCGCTAGTGCTTTGATAAAGATTAGTCTCGCATAAAAGGTGAGGACTGTGAAACCATTTGAGTTTCAACGAGTCTTCTTGTTCATGAAAGTTTTGTTTGACATCGACGCAAGTCTTCATGCATGGTACATTGTAATTTAAAGTATCGTACATGTAGTTCACGTTCCTTACATGGCTGTGAACCGTCGAGATCTCATTGGGAGGAAAACCTTTGAACACCTCGGGTGCGGAAGACACGAACTTCTCGTTCAACTCGAAGCTCCGGGATGAATCGATCAAAATATTCTGGATCTCTTCGGTATTACGCTTGTCTTCCGAACCTGTCATAACTCTTAAAACAAAATGAAATTCGTTAAGTTACACAATACTATACATGTAGAAAGATAATCAGATGGAACGATCCATACTCTCCGCACGAAGAGACGTTAGATGATCTGATCAGTTCTGTAATTTTGTATATTAAATTTTCTATCTTATCGTTCGGTACACCTTTCGGCAGCGGTATCACGGAAATGATCTGTTGCTGCAGGTCACTGTCCAAGTTCTCGGATAAAACGAGCAAAGTTTTCAATACACGTTCGTACGCGATTAAACCATCGTCCGGGTGGTACATGCTCAGCAACTGATTAATCACGTTGATGATACTCGCACCTTTCGAACTTTGTTCCAAAGCGGTCCAAGGGAAATTCTCGAACACGGAAGCAACATTTATCGTAGCATTTCTACCCTCGGGAACCGCTGAAAGTAAAACAATCATTATGAATGATTTACCACACTTTTGTTCGTTGCTGATCTGCGTAATTATTTCAAATACTCACAGTCGGATCTTTTTATTTCCATTTCGATGTCAACGTCTTCTCTATAAAGTGACAGCTTTCTAGGATACCAATACAATCAATTGGCAATTACCGAATAATGAAAACAGCTGCACCGGGCATATTATTGTCGACAAATGAACAACGTTTCTCGCGAGCTCGTTTGCAAGTTGACAGAAATCGGATTACAAGTTAAAACGTTTTGTTTATACGCTAGCCAGCACGTTCCACCATCATTTCCAATGATTACGATGTTAATAAAATGTGATTAAAAATGAAAATAAATTTTCGTATCACTCATTATAATCCTTCCCTCTATACAAATATTTAACTGCTTGCAAGTGTTGTAATAATAATCATATCTAAATATTCATCGAGGTAGAGTAGTAGTAAGAAGGAAATTACTTTCTTAAGTAGCAGAGAAATGGCATTTGCTAATTATAAAAACACAAGTGCGCCTTCTGTATATCCTGGATTATTTTAATTAGAGCATTATTCTAATGATCTTAAAAGCTTTACTACCGCTATATAAGCCACGACGGGGCACAGATCGATCAAGTTGGTGCAAGATGTTCCTACTGAAAGATCTATTACTATTGTCTTGCTTGACAGTGTTAACGGCCAGCGGAGCTCCCAAAACCATCGCAGGAGCACCATGGGCGAGCTACGCTTCGAAATCCGGTAGTACAACTCATTCAATACTCACTTAATAATTGTAAGTTCTCTTATTTGAGATATTTTTAATTAGCTTATGCGAGAGCTCTTGGACCTCCTGTAACGGGAATGGACACCATAACAGTCCCGTACATGCCAAAGTCTCCATTCTTTCCGAAATTCGTCGACCCTAAGACGATGATCTCGAAGAAAACGGATATGCTTAGCAACATTTTCGGTGGTTTGGGACCTGTGTATCCTATGAGTTTCAAACCGTTCATGCCGATCGCTGGCCCGCCTATGTACGGTTCTCCCGACGAGACTAACTTTCTGAGCAACCTGAAAGCTACGGCGAACAACGAAGACGTCGCGTACAAACGAGGAATCTTCGGGCCGTTCGGTGGGAAACCTTTCGGTCCCATGAGCCCCAAATTCGGGCCCATGTCTCAATTCTCAGGCGCGAACGCTATACCCGATTATAGCATGAAGGACGAGTACACCCGTAGAAGAAGAAGCGTGGAAGAATCTCCAGCCGAGAAGCTTCGGGCCATCATGGACAATGGACTGGCGACGAAGAATTTAGGACCTCCGCCGCCGTATCCTACTCTTGCTCCGATTTCCGAGGAACCGGAAGAAGACATGCTGGCTAAAAAAATGGGAGGTCCGATAGCACCAAAGCAATATTTGCCGGGAATGTTTGGACCCTTCGGACCGTTAGGACCGTTCAGACCGATGGGACCTGTCGGACCTGTCGTCGATCCGTCCATGTTCATAGCTAAGAAAACGGCTTTCTTGGATAATTTGTTTAAGACTCTTGCTACCAGTACTACGCCATCGCCCATGGCAATGGACGCCCCGACGGCGAAGAGTACCATCGTGCCGTCCGACTTCTGGCTACCGTCTTCGGTGATCCCCGGACCGACTGAATACACTGAAAAAGTAGGAGAGTTCTTGGACAAGCTATTCGACTCTTTGAAGTTGAACAAAACTACGGCAGATACTGGTGCCGATGCATCGAGTGTCAAGTACGATTTTGCACGATCTGTAACACCCGACACGGACGCACAAGCAAAGATCGTGAGGTCGGTCGATGATTTGTCATCGATCAACGCCGCTAAGGACTCGATCGTTGACAGCATATTATCAGAGTTGGGCGATTTGAAGAGTAGCATGGTGACGACGATGAACGACTTGATCACTTATGAGAAATCAGCAGCGATGATGCCGAAGAAGCCTTTCAAACCCTTCGCTGCCGGACCCTGGTCGAAGACCACTTCCGACGGTTCTTTGCCTTTCCAACAGAAAATGGGAGTTCTCAGTCAGGTATTCGATATGCTGACGGATTTGCAGAAGAATATTACCGTGGCGATGCAGAATATAATAAAAGCTAAGATGGCACCTGGACCGTCCGATACCAATTATCCAACAAGTAACGACATGTTCAACGTGACTCTTCTGGATGCTATTAAGCGTAAACTGGACAGTTTGGACTATGGAGTTCCAATTTCTTATAATCCCAGTTACGATAAGTACGGAGCGAGTATGGCTCGGATGGCGCCGAAGGCTCCAGGATCGTTCTGGGTCACCTACCCCGAAAACGGAGGTGCAAAACGAGAAGTTGACACTGGTGCATCTCTAACGAACGGGGAAGAGAGCGAGTTCAATCAGAAGCCGCAAACGCGTTCGGTCAAGATGCAAATGCATCAAGGGTACCAGAGCTTGCCAGCCGGTTCCATAGAATCCGTGCAAGCAGGCGGAGGATCCACGCCCGGGCATCAAGGTGGTGGAATCAAGCTGCTAGTAAGTGAAGAGAAATTTTAAATTAAAATCATTTGTCATATTTTCAATTCGTCTATTGAATACTGTACATCGTGAAATGCGATTATAATAGTCGAAGGCTGGTACAGACTTAAGAACGATTTCTTGGAAATCGAACACGCGTTTCGTTCTCCATCTCAGATGGGAGATTTTCCGTTCCGAAGCCTGTGCCAGGCGAGTCGCGAGATCACTTTGCGATATCTAAAAATTAAAACGAACGATGGCGACGAGGGATCTTAAGTTTGCGACGTGATTACTTCTCATTTGTTTTCAGATACAAATGCCTGTATTGCCTAATATGCAGGTGCCAGAATTTCGCAATAATTATTATAACTAGGTACGTCTGGCTTGGGTACTCTGAATACCGTGAACATGTTTCGTTTGTCGCAGGACACAGAGAATTACGAGGATTACAACGACTGGGCCAACTGGATTGGGTACTTGAAAAACGGCTATCAGGGACACAGGCATCACAATCATCATTAGACGTCTACAGACCTAGCAGGAATATTTCTATCACTTGTAATTACAATCTCTCTCTCTCTATTTTGCGATCGATCACTCCCTTTCTCGCATACTATATTATAAAATGTGTACGCTCGAAGATGTCTATCAATAAAGTATGTTTGGCAAAATACAAGTCGTATGTGAAACAACAATTTCGTGAAATGGGATGAGAATGAAACGAATACGTGCCACCGGAGCCGGTCATCAGCGCACATGGACGCAATCCTGCATCAAGTGCGTTGCTTGGTCTCAGTATAATCAGCAATGCATTGCGCGCAGGGTAGCGTTAGTGTGTTAGGAAGCACCAGAATTTAATAATACCGCTTGGTCTTCGAGGGGAGAAAGATCGATTTAGTTCTATGTTCGAACTGTCTCTCGTATAAACTCACACAAAATTATGGACACGGCAGTATCGGTAAGTGTTCGACGTTCAACACATGATTTGATTAATAATTACCGTCTGTACGAATCGTATCGTTATCACCTGCCCTTTGTCACTTTGGTTATAAGATGTTCCATTTGCTGATCAATTCTGAACACCATGTAAAACGATGCCAGGACACTACCCAGCGTCACTAATAATCCCAGACCCTCGAATATTAACTTTGGCGCGAAGATCTTCCAGACCATTAAATGCCGGCAGTGAATCGTCGCAGTAAGCATGCTGCCGAACGTCTATAAATTGATGAATGACAAATATTTCTCAATATCGTATCACTCGGCGTTCCTATATCGCTTACCCTGATCGCATGAAGTAGCGTGTATTTCCCTGCCACGGAGAAAACCGCGGCATGGAACACAGAATTCTTTTGGAACAAGAGAAGCTCTCCCCGTTTCATGTCATCGTCCGCAAATTTAACTTTGGCTAACTTCGGAAACACGAGGTAGAAGGTGAACGGAGCGATCACTAATAACGGCAATGTCGAGCCCAATATGATATGCGATCCGAACGTATTTATTCCTGTAATTGGATCCTCTCTACACTCCCAATCGCTGATTCAAAGTAAATCAATGTATACCTATTAAGATCGCTGGAATTAAACTTCCGTAAAAGTGTCCGCCTGTCCCTACAAACGCCGCGTCCCAATGAATAGTGGGAAAAGTTGGTTGATGCCCGGTTCCGTAAAAGAAGTACTCCGCTGTTAGGAACCAGCACAGTAAGACGGGGGTCGATACTTCGACCAGTTCAGCTGTTTAAAAAAGAAAGATTCAAGCTGTACTCTTAACAATTACGCGATTATTTTTGCACAACTCAAATAGTTTGAGATACTCACATATGCTATTAGCATTCTTGTATCTCTCTACTGCCGACAGACCCAGAACAGAGGCGCAAGACAGGAACATCAAAAAAGTGCTGGGCGATAGGACATCTCCCAATAATAACGAGTACAATAACATAAGGAACACGCTTAAGGAAATGAATGCGGCGCTATAGGCTGTACCCAAGCCGTAGACGATCGGAGTATCGTCCACCTCTACGTTCTTTCTGTAAATCGACTTCTTTATCTTCTCGAATAACCGAGGTACCACGTTTTCATCCTGGTACGCATTGATGGACTCTTTCTTCTTTGGTAGCAAGAACACATTGAGCGGCCGATAGTACAGAACAAGAATTGCGAGTACGCTCAATGCGTAGATTATGTTCGGCAACGTGCTCACTTGCCAGGACAGTGCGAATTTCATCTTGACGAATTTCGGTAGTTTCTGAAGAACCCAGTAACAGCCCATACAAACACCGATTACGACGGGACAATACTGTCCTATTAAAACGCTTGGCGAGAAACCGGACAGATTGCCACAGTTCTGTAGCCATAGTCTTACTACCGTGATGTACAACGCCAATACAATCAGCGTAATAGCTAGAAAAATTCGTTCCAAGTTGTCTGACATTATGGAGCCCACTTTGCCGATCACGAAAGTAGAACATTCGCGTTGCTGTTCCTCTCGACAACGCCAAAAGTAGTGTGACAGTCGTATGGAAACGCAAGCTACCAAACCAGCGATTAGGACGATCATTTTCAAATTTGACTTCGCTTGTGGCTTTAAGAACGGCTTCGTTTTCCTCTCGGAACTTTCGTTGGTATTCTCTTTCATCAAATTGTACATGAGTAACGAGATAATCGTGACCAGGAGAAAAGATAGCACGCTACTCTCTTCGACGATGTAGCTGTTAGAGAAGAGGCTGCATATCGTTAAGAGGAGTATCACCCTCGAAACGTAGGATAGTTTTTTTATCTTCTTATAATACCAGCCGACGTACCATCGCATCGAAATCGCGTCCCAGTGTATACCGATCAACGATACTAACAGTGTCACGGACTCGGCGCCGGTAGCAAGGAATACGTTGTTCTTTACTTCCTCCAAGAAGCCGAAGGAAAAGCAAAGGAGTACTATTAATACAGTAACGAAATTTACCACCACGGAACATTGCAAAAACGATGATTGAAATATCTTCGACATCCGATCTTCAGGGATGCCCGTGATGAATAGGTAAAAGAAGAACAAAGTGCAAAACATGAGGAGCAGGCCTTGCGACATCAGGCTGGAATCGAACTGAACCCAAACTTCTGTGCACGTGTCTTTCAGCAATTTGAAGTAGTTCTTACTGTTTTTAATAAAAGACTCGAACTCTTCGACAGTTCTTACAGTTCTAATCTGCTTCGAGAGACGATTGTACATGTTCTCCACATTTTCAAGTTGTTCGTTAGAAAATAAATAACTGTCAGTAGAATATACGTCTATATACTTCTTGGTCTGCGCGATGTTTCTCCATACAGAGAACGCTAAGTACCATAGATTATCTTCTATTCTTCCACTTTTCGTTATACTTGGAAGCGAACCGAGTACAACGGATCCCAAGTTAGAAAACGGTATCGGTGTTCTGAGAATCGATGATAGTGTGGGAACGAGATCTATCTGATTCACGGTGTCCTCCAGTGAATCGTAATTGACAAGAGGTACCGTAGAATAGACGAACATAGCAGCTTCTACTTCGTGGCTGCTGTCGCCACCGTGATCTCCGCTGTCCGTCATCCCGTGGTCACCGACGACGAAGAGCACCGTGTTCTCTTCCAGAGATTCTACGATTTCTCTTATAAGAGCGTCCGTGTCGTTTAATTTCCTAGTCATCTCGGGGTGATTAGCACCGTGCTTGTGTCCACAGTGATCGACTCCGAGAACGTGGGCTATGAGAAGGGACCAATCTTTTTTCTTCATCTCGAAAAATATGCGGTATCTGACGTCTTTGTCGACAGTGTCCAAGTCCCAAACGTTAAACGACGGCGATGGGAACTGGCGTTTGAATTTGCCAGGGAACAGATTAGTCCAAGTATCATCGCCCATAAAGACGATACCACCTGCAGTGTTCTGATCGACGATGTTGTCTTCGTCAATGCTCTCTGAGGCGAAATTAGATCCGATGTCGATGAACGTAGGCAACGATCCCGTGGTGAGTCCCTTCAATCTTTGCATGGTCGTCGTTGGGGGATCGGCTATGAATTTGTATAATCGCGAGTTCGCCGGTCGATTTTGAAGCAATTCGTGAATCGTCACGAGCTTGTTGCGATAGTAAGATGAGGTAGAGCCGGTGTCATTGTACCAGCGCGCGAAATCGTATTTCAACGCGTCGACGACCAGTAAGACGACTCGCGTCTTCCTTTCGAGACACGAGCGGGCCGCGAGGTCTGGATTTTTAAGAAGCTGTTCGAAGTCACAGTCTGGACCGGTGCAATATTTGCATCCGGCGCGCTCCGGCCTGGCAACGCGGTTCAGCAGGAAACCGCTGGTGAAGATCAGCAAGCCGACCGTCATTAAGTACGACATCCATCCTTGGAATATTAAGTAATTCCATAGTTTGCTCATTTTCTCTTTCCAAGAATAGAGTATTATTTCCGAGCGATATCAAAAGAGCTCCGACATAACCTCAACCTATTTCTCGAGATAACCTCGTTGTTCACCATCGTCGCATTGCCACGAGAACGCGAACACACGTTTCAAATGCATCGCAAACGAACACTGTTAGCAACACCGGCTGACAAACGGATGATCCGCATTTATAAAAGAAATACAGAAACGTCGATTCGAGAAGCGCGAGGATGCATACAACAACTTTCTACTCGTGTGGCGCTAAATTTTGAGTGCATCGCAGTGCCGCTACAGTGGGAGGATTGCAAACGTTCTCGTCCCCTGACGTCTCTTATCGACAGTCAGTTTGATACTCGGAAAATTTTTCAAAAACACGTCTTTTAAAAATCTTGTAAATTGCACGATCGAAAATGTTTACTACGGGACGCAAGCATAAAAATTATTGGTTGAAGTGATGAGGATGAGCGTCAAGTATCTCACCGCTTTAAATCTGATTAGTCTGATAAGCCGCATAGGCGGCAATAACATTTTTAACCTCGGCGATTCAAATTATGAATACGAGTTTGAGCACTTGTACAAATGGACGAGTTTCAACAGGGGCTTCTGTCAAGCTAGAAAAGTCAACAAACCGATAATGCTGTTTGTCCATAAAATGCAATGCCCCGGTTGCGTGAAGTTAAAAAAGAAATTTGTCAAGTCCGTGCGACTGATGGATCTCAGCGATCGGTAAGAATTCTTCCTCGTGCTTTTCAGACACAATTAAGATTTTATTTACTGAAGTTACTCAATATCAGTCTTTTGCTCGCTGAAAATAAGACCTTACAAAGGGCGTTTCTGTTTCACCGATCATACCGTTACAGCTTCATCATGATAAAAGCAGAAATGGGCAAAGACTCGAATTTGAAACATAAAACATTTCATCCGGATGGGAAGTACGTGCCGAGGATATTGTTCTTCACTTCGGAAGGCAAATTGATAAAAGAAGCGTACAACCGATGCCCGGATGCTGACAAGGATTATAAATACTTTTACAAATCCGCCGGGCAAGTCGTGGAGACGATGTTGTACGTTTTAAATAAGTACACGAACGACGCGTTGCCAGTCGCGTTCCAGCAGGAACAATCGAAACCGGAAGCTTGCGATCCGGAGGACGAAATCATTCTCCCTACTTTGTTATATTGATGCTAAACGATTTGGAAATAATATTCTTTCCTAATTTATAATGATCTTTTCAAGTATCGATAGACTGCGGATTTGATGTGTTATTAAACAAGTTGCGTACGTAAAATGACGTTTAAAGGAAATTCGTTTGAATAATTAAATTGAATAAATATTTGCAGTACTGGAAACGACACGGGGCTGCCCGATGAATGGGCTAAGCTGTAACCAATCTGAACGCGAGTTCGTAGCAGGCGTTACCTTTCAACTTTGCAACTGTATACGAGTCTGCGCCTATGCATTAAACACCCGTTGATATCAACCTATCGCCAACTCCCAGTAACGGCGCTTGCGTTTGCAACTGTTACCATATCGCCGCATGCTCGCTTCATTGGCCCACACTGTCTCTCACCTGTTCCAAACCACGCCCAATTCTCTTTGACTTCCGGTCATGTATTAATCTCTTCGCTCTCACTTTATATCGTTTTAATAAATTCATTTGTGTTCTATAGAAAATGTCACCTTGTAGTCGCAGCAATGTTCGTTTTTGCATGTAACAAAAGTGATTCCCGACGCACTTGGCACTATACAGCGTAAGCACCAAATGTTTCTCGTGTGAGTTAAATTGAACTTCGAACTGCGCTTTGAAGAAAGATTTTTAAGTTCGATGAAACCAATCGATAGATCAGTTAAAAAGCTGTAACATTGATCTACCACGTAACGAGTAGATAATCCGTTCTCTTTCTATCTGGGAAAAGTTAATTCGTGCAGGTGTGCACGGCGAGCGGGCCGGGGATCGTTTTGGGTAGGACGAAACAGACGGACAGGGTATAGTTAAGCAGTTTGTTGAAATTCTTGAGCGAAAAGAGGATCGGTAACGGGTTTATGTATGGATCTCACGGTGCGTTCTGTGTTTGAAGGGTTGCAGATAATATATAGCCCGTTTCGGCGGAGAGTGCTTTTTAGCTTTGACCGTTTCATCCGGCGGCGCGGCGTCGATCGGAGCTATTGCGTCCCGGTAATATCGTGCGGGGGCGCCTATATTCACGGTCCGTCACGTTTATTTTTTTTTTCGTTCCCTCCTCTCTCGGCTCACTCGCAGCCCCAGGACACCCTCTGCCTGCGGTGGTCGGGTGGGTTTTAAAAAATGAGCCGGGACATTATTTTTACGCGGCCCTCCTCTCCCACCTCCCTTCCGGTCCAGCCGCGATTCGAGTGACCAGAGGGGACCACCAGTCGTCGTTTCCGCCGGCGCAGCTTGCAATGTGCCGCGTCAGCGAATGTGCAAAAATTCCGAGGGAAGATATATACACCTACGTTCACAAGTTTTACGACACTTCCAACTATCCGTCGAAAGAGCCTGACAAATCGTCCCACCCAGACTATCTTCATGGATCGTCATACGACACCGTGTGACGAATCGTACACTGAACCTATTCGATTATTATTATTATTATTTAATAATAAGCAAAAATAAATCGTTGTGTTGAGAGACACTCTATCATAAATTAGAGTCTATCTTTGTTATTTTAGTCAATGGGTCTCTGGCTTTATCCTTGAAGGCTGGGATAATAAACACATTGCAGGGCCAGGCCTTTATGTTTCTTCCAACTCTAAGCAGATTTTTATCGTGCTTTTCTTGCTTTGTTAGTCTCGTCCAGAGTGTCGTATTAAGATGTCGTTTCGAGTCATATAATGAAATATTATATGAATTTTATTGAGTGTTCATTGAATAAACCCCATGTTTCAATGGAACCACGAGTAATTTCAGTAAAACGAATGAAACATTCTTTGAATCTTTTCCGACAAAATCTGATACGAAACGCAGTGCGCGGAGCACCTCATCCGATGGTGCTTTAAGAGTTGTGGACGGGTGTGTACCCAGCGAGAACGTGGATAAAACGGTATCGCAAAGGACGAGAGGGAAAAATTGAGGTGCGAGAAGACCCCTGTATCTGAAAGAGAGAGAGAGAGGAGGAGGAGGAGGAGGAGGTGGAAAAAAGATTATATATCTCGTCTAGCACGTCTGTCCGCTCGTTCCCAGGGCGGGTGTGGACGTGGCCTCTGTGTGGATATATCGGCGCCGTGGAAGCCATTTTCAATTCAATCCGTTAAAAGCACGTCAAAAAGTCATACGGTATTTCACCGGCGGCGCGGGTGCGCGGTAGATCGCGGCCGAGATCGCTGAGGTTCGACCCGCCGCGCGCGCGGCGATGCTGCCATCCGCGATGAATTCACCCTCCCAAATATATGCCCTCCGGTTCTACCTATCTTTATTGTCGATTTCGTCAAACCTGTCTCCACGCTTTTCAATCCCCGCTTTACTTTCTTCCACTCCCCCCTTTTATTCGCTCCGTATTTCTGTTTAAAGAAAGAAGCAACCGTTGTTTCTGTTACTTCATTGTATTATTGAATTCAATTTTAATTTGAAACATTTATTGCGTATATTGTACGCAGCGGTCTTTTCTTTCTCTTCGGAAGGATCCGTCGTTTTCTGTACTGTTGCAATGCGAGGATCTCCGTTCGACAGGTTCGTTCACCTACGTATCGGAATTCTCGATCGACGGACCTCTCGTGTACCTGCGCTTTTCACGTAAGCTACAATCTCCGTTATCCGATCAGGAAACGATTTAATCAGCCGTCTCAGCTGGTGTCGCCGAATCTGGATGTTGGCAAACATTGTAACTCGATACAAAGCAGATCTTGATCTACTTGCTTCCCCCGATACGAAGGGGAGGACTTCTGTAAGCGCTCGGTGTACCTGCTGCCAAATCGGATACGTACTCCGGTTTACTGTAACAATCGTGGGAGAGTTTCATCTCTCAGGTAGAGAAGTTTAGCTAAAATAAACATAGAATCTTTGGAATAAGTGTAACGCTGTTTCATGGTTTCCAGTAATGTAGTCAACGAAGGGACGCAATCAGGTTTGGAATGCTGTACGAGTACCATATGAAGGGATGCCAAGTACGTAGACTGCGGATTTTATGCGTTTACGAAGAAGCTGAATGTAGAAAGAATATGTAACATCCCCAATTCAATATTGCAGCAACGTCGCAAAAAGTACTGCAAGATCGCAATATTTTAAACAATGTTACTGCAAGATTATCAAAAAATGAATTTGTGAAAGTACAGATGGTATTTCTATAATTTTTTTATGTTATAATTGTGATTACGATTATAATCTTTTTTATGATTACCCAATAAAATCGATGTAATAATTACATAAAAATCGTGAGAAGCGTTCCTGTAACGTTACTATAATGTTACACTGCAACGTATAAATGCACTGTTGTTGGAATTTTGTAATAACATTGTAATTGCAATGTGACAGTGTTGAAGATACGTTGTTGCAATATTGAGTGCTGTTGGGGGTGGAAAAATATATAGAAAATATCAGAAGTATGCATATTGCGGTACTTCACTGATTAAAGAAATTAAGAAAACTTATTTGAATTTATTTTTTTATTTTATTTTGCACGAAAGTCCGCAGCCTAGTGATCAGTCGTCAGACGTTTTATTAAAGCGAGAAGAACACCGTCGAACTTAACAGTTTGCCAAGTTGATTTCGAAACAGAGTTTTACGACGCCTGAGTGAGTGCCCGGATATAAACGGCGATAATGGAAAATTGGTAAAACGAAAGTAAATGCGTTTGACCGTGGCTCTCGAGTGAATTGTACGTTTCAACGCGTTACGAACCGCGGGTTAATCGCGGCGGTCGTGCGTCATTAGCGAGAGCGTCGATGACGGTTTGAGCAACATTAAAAAGCGCGCACGGTCTACCTACGTGTACATAACTGCCTACCAATCCGTTGCGACGTCGATCGACACGGACCATTTTTTTACTCTGGCATATCAGCCACTCGAACCATACGTACGCGCCGATGGATAAATCGATAAACCAATAAATAGCTATGGTAATGCACACCCGCGTTTTTAAAGTATCAGCCAACCACGTTCCCGTTTCCACCGGCTGCAGAGATTATTAAGCGGTTCCCTGCCACGCTGACTGCTTATCACTAAATTATCCCAGAGAGTACAGTCGAATCGACCGTTTCTACCACCTTTTATTTCGTTTAAATACGACTTCTCACTTCAAAGATTCTGGGTTTCTGAGAGAATTCAGTGTTCAGTTCAATGTTGTAGTTTTATTAATGTAATATTTAGTCACTGTTAAAATTTCAATGCTTTCTCATTGTTTTTTTCTAAGGATTCGTACAACCGGGGGTGTCGAACCCTCGCGACCAAAAAGAAAATAATTCCTCTATATTAGCTATCATTACAGTTTCAGAAATGCATACTTCCTCAGCAGTGATTGGTTCTCGATTCATGTTATCAGTTTTCTACTTAAGTTTGTAGAAAACCTGTAGAATACATCATTTATGCCTCAGTCGTGTAGGTTTTCTACAAATGAGTCGAGAGCCCATCACTGTTTCTCATTTATAGTATCCTATTTAATTACATATTTTAGATAAAATCAATCGTTGATGAAATTATCTTCGAACAATCGTGGTCAATTTATATGAAATCTGAATTCGAACAGACGTAGAATTCCTACATTCCTCGAGCTCTTCTAGAGTTAAACTGTGTTGGAATAAATGCAACCAGAAACGAGCATAAACGACGATTTATACATTTATTCATGTATAAATGGGACATAAAAATATGTCGTGTAGGAATACACGTGGTTACTTTGGTGCGCATGGTAAGTCAAATGTAATAGTGGCATTGTCTGCTGGTACTCGCGAGTCATTGTGCGCGGAGCGTAGGTACCACCGGAGAGGAGAGGAGAGGAGAGATATACAGGATCGAAATCATAGCGTTGTGAATACATAGGACGCTTTTATTCCGTTCTCATTGCGGGGTAAATAACATCTGTACATTAGATCACTATAAAATCGGTCGCCATTGGCGAACGACAATGGGGCTCGCTCTCCCTCCTGTTCAAACCTCATTGTAGAATATGATTCAAGAAAGGTTCGTCGCTGTGACGTCGGTGCACTCGTGTGCTCTACATGCCTCGAAAAAAGAACTAAACGGTGAAAAAGAAGAACAAAAAAGAAAATTGGAAAGAGAAGCAGAAAAGGGATGGTCGACGGGTCGAAGGAAAGGGGAGCCAGGGTCGATCCCGCCTGTGTTCTCGTCTATTGTGATTCGCGGACAAAAGTAATAAATTCATCTTCGTAGAGATCATAGATGATTTTCTTGTAAAATAAAACGTGTCCTCGTCGTCGTCGTTGTTGTCGTCGGTGTCTTCATCGATCGGATTCGTGTCATTGCGGCGTACGCGTAAAAATTGTATTAAGTACGGTTCGTCGTGTGTCCACTGAAACACGATCTTCCAGGTCACGGGTACGGACCGAGAGAATCGAGAATTGAGAAAGAACGTACATAGGGAGGAAGGGAAGAAACAAAGAAAGGATATGTTCCTTTCTCGAAAAGGAGGCGTGCATGGTTCGAAAATTATATAGTCCCGAGAAACAAAAGGCGGAGCGTTGCGGGAGAGCGAGAGAAACATCGAGAGATCGAGAGAGAGAGAGAGAGAGAGAGAGGATCGTTCGTGAGCATCGCGCGTTGTATTTTACGTTTGGAAACGGGTTTTCAAATAAAAGAGTAATGTGTTCGTCCGTTTAGCCTCCACGGACAGAAAATACACAGGACCGATACTGCCGCCTGTATTCTGTACGCATAGTTTATCGAGGGTGAGTGCCAGGGTAGGTGGGTATACGCCGCGGTTAGTTTCCCCCCTCGCGCTCCGAGCAGATATAAACTCTTAACATCTCGGTGGAACAGCGGGAACGACCAATCCGGCGGCGACGTAGGCGTGGCCTTAGCTGAACGCGGCGCCGCGTTTGGTCGAACCCTCGGGGTGGAACACTGTGGCACAGTGTTTTATTTCGCGCTAACGGAGGGGCTGTTCGTTCCTCCCCTCTCGCTCGCCCGGCTACGTTCACCCTCTGACCCTGTCTCTCTTCCAGCCGCGCGTCGCTTCACCATCCCTATTCCGCTCACCGGTTTCTTCATAACTGTTCCCGTCTGCACCCCGTTCACTTTTCTAGTGCGCTTTCTTCGCCCTCTCCCTCCCCCCTCCGGTCGCCCGGTCTCGGCCGCCCCCTCCTTAACCGTCCGCCTTCGGCTCACCGCCGGGTTGGTCGGGGCCTCTCTCTGTCTCTCCGCGCTCTACCTGAATCGACTCTCCCGGGATGCTGCAATTGTTGACAATGCCGGAGAGCGAGAGAGATTGCCCCGAGGATCCCGCATTTCGTACCCCGACACCCGTTAGAGCGGTGGTCTATCGGCCGAGCGTGGGCGCGTGCGCTTGCGTGTCTCTCTCTCCTCGTCGAGCACCGTTCGCCATCGCCTCTTCGGACTTTTTCTCCTCGCCGCGCGCCGCCGGTACCAGAGTTTCCAACGTTTAAATGTGACTTCTTCGGTTGAAGTAAGAACAGCGGCCGTGTCGCGAGCTACGAGGGCCTCGTTGCGAGAACGGGGATGCTCACGATCGAACTTGATATTACCTTGGAGTAACGAGAGCACGCCCCGGTGAAAAGGTGGACGGACCGACGATCACCTCGTTAGTTCGACGTAGATCGCTTCGGACAGGCAGCTTTCGCTGAACGTGACGTTCTCCATTGAATCCGGAAAGAAATTCGGTGATCCAGATGGACTGAGAAGCTAGTGCGAACGTACAAACAATTCCTAATGATCCGGTGCAAGGACCGGAAGAAGACCCGAGGAAACGTGAAACAACATTAGAGACGTGACTGATTCGACGACCTGTGCATCGACGCGCCGATAAGGACTATAAAGATAAATGAAGACCGAGTCGTGGGAAGTTGATTAAAACAGACGGCGGTAGCAAGGATCGTGCGTGGTGAACCGTGGAAGAATGAGAGCCAGGCGTAGCGGTGTCGATCTCGGTGAGCACGTACCCTCGCCGCGTTTCAACAGTGAACACGATTATACAGCGAGGTCTAGTGAATAAACTGATCGGTTGTGAACGATGTCGTTGCCGCGGGGTGTCGGCCTCGGTGTGGACGTGGGCCAGTTGATGCAGCATCAGCAACAACAGCAGCAGCATCACGTGCTGCCCGCCGCGTTCTTCCTGCGTGCCAGTGCCGAGAGATACCAAAGGACACCGAAGTGCGCGAGATGCCGGAACCACGGGGTCGTTTCCGCGTTGAAGGGCCACAAACGGTACTGCCGCTGGCGGGACTGCGTGTGTGCCAAATGTACGCTGATCGCAGAGAGGCAACGAGTCATGGCTGCACAGGTAAATGCGATCGAGGACCGAGAGAATTTTGAGGATAGAGAAAGACGCGTTGAACGTTCGTCCAAAACGTTCGACGCGATTGTCTAAAGAGAAAAACTGGTGTCGCATGTTTATTTAAAAACACTTGCAAATCCGTGAGCAACGGTTCAGTCAAAGTTTGTAATATTAACCCTTTGCATTCGAGGCCTTTTGCGCTCGGGCGAACCAGCAACTCGAAACGATTTAGGCTCTATTAGAGAAGAACTTTAGGGGTACTTCAAATCATTTTATACCCAAAAGAACGTATACAAACAATAAAATTTTACCAATTTCTTCATTTTTATTGAATACAACAAAATCTGTTAAATATTACAGTTTGCAATTAGTTTTCGTGCCAGGCGCCGTAGCGGCGCCGCTCGAGTACAAAGGGTTAACGTTGAGACCGCCGGCAATAGATACGTGCAAACGTGTTTAAAAAGTCGTATACGACGAGTAGTTTACATGGCACGTATCGAGGATGCTTGTCGATCAAGAATACAAGCCGTGTAAAATACTCGTGAATTTCTGAGACGTTTCGGCTCTCCGGCGGTTTAAGTTAATGGGTGAATTAAAAAGGAGTACTTGTAGCAAGTGCAGAAGCATTCTAGCGAAGGCGAGCGCAAAGAGGGTTTCCTTTTCCACAGCCAAAGCGTAATGGATCCAGCGAGTGTGAACTGATTCGATTAAAATCGGAACACGAGGGTCTCTCGTAACATGCGACTTTCTTCTCTTAACGTTTCACGTGCACTTTAACACGAATAAAAACAGAAATCACTGTTTTTATTTTATTCCATTTATTTTAAACGAGTGCACGATTTACTCCTTGGTTATTTTGTTACACGTTCTCCGTAGGCTTTTGGAATACTTGATCTCGATCGTAACTCTAGATCCACTTGAAATCCAGCTACCCTCTTGTCAGGCACTCATATCGATACCTTCTTTCGTATCTAATGTGACCACCAGTTATCGTATCTTTTACAAACATCGAAGTAATCGATGAAAGTGAGGAGGAATCCAAGAAGGTTTTCTGTTGAGGATCTTTTGGGGAATTGACAATTGAGGATCACGTGCGATCATAAGACTTAAAACAGCTCGACTGATCGTAACGACGAGACCCCTTTTTGCGATGCTTAGTTTGATGTTCACCGACTACTTTCCAGGAAAACCGAATTTCCATAGAAGAATAGAAAACAGAAATACATGGAGTAACGTAGCAAAGACTAGTCACGAAAGAACGGTAGACGACAAGATGCGAACTGGCGATAGCAGTGGGTCATTCATTTCAGTAGTACGAGTCAATAATTGTACAAGTCCAACGAGAGATTCGTAGACTAGGAACCTCCGTTTCGTCTTGCCTCGATTCATTGCAATTCCCATATAACTATTATTTCTGTTCAATCTGTCGTTCTATCGTTTCGTATTCTATTGGAACTGTTCATGATTCATCATACGGTCACTGTTTTCGATTTATCGCATGGATAATTCCTAAGCTGTGCTTAGAAATTCTGCATTTCTGACACTGGAAGCTCCTATAGATGTTTATCCCATTG